CCCTTTCAAAAAAAACAGGTTTGGGGCCTATTTTGGGAACGGGCACCCGGCCAAACCGAGGTAGAAAATCCCCTTGCCCTACGGGCAACAAAAAACTTGACCTTTGGCCCCAACAAAGCTGAATTTCCCCCTTGAAATGCGTCATCCCCGGGCCCGGGTACGGGGGCATGGGAGCGCGGGTTTAGTGCGGCGGGAGGTATTGTAATCCGCGAAGGACACGACTTTTCCACCCAAAAAGTGGGGGGAGAGACCCCAGGGTTTGTGAAAATGAATCGGGGCGTGATTGTCTGGTTTTTCAAACCACCATTTTCCTGACAAAAACTGACTAAATCCCCTGAATCATCCCCCAAAACCCATGTGCCACTTTCGGTTTCCCCTTTCCACTGGCTGGTGTTTCCATTTTTTGTCATAGGGTGCTGGCAGTTTTAGGGGCCCTTTCCCATTGCTGCGGGCCGGCCTTTTAATCGCCAGGGGCCCCCTTTGTACCCCCTCTTCATGCTGCTGCCAGGTCCAGAGTGTCTATGGGTTCCCTGTCGGCCTCCATTTGCTGCTGTCTCCATCGCCACATCTGGCCATGTGCCCTTTCAGGTCTCCTCACATGTAGTGTGTTCCATTTTTTGTCATGGGTGCTGGCAGATTACGGGCCTCCCATTGCTGCTGCCAGGCCAGTAATCTGCCTTGGGCCCCCGTACCGCCTCCTCATGCTGCTGCCAGGTCCAGAGTCCTTCATGGGTCCCTGTACGGCCTCCCAGTGCTGCTGCTCTCCATCGCCACACTCTGCTCATGTGCCACGTTTCAGGTCTCCTCACACTGCTGGTGTGTTCCATTTTTTGTCATAGGGTGCTGGCAGATTACGGGCCTCCCATTTGCTGCTGCCAGGCCCGTTAATCTCCATGGGCCCTAGTACCGCCTCCTCATGCTGCTGCCAGGTCCTCAGTGTCTCTCATGGGTTCCTGTACGGCCTCGCTCCATTGCTGCTAGTCTTCTCCACATCGCCATCACTCTGACCATGTGCCACTTTCAGGTCTTCTCACACTGCTGGTGTGTTCCATTTTTTGTCATAGGGTGCTTTGGTAGACTTACGGGACCTCCCATTGCTGCTGCAGGGGGGGGGGCGGGGGGGGGGGGGGGGGGGGGGAGGGCCCGTAATCTGCCATGGGCCCCTTTGTACTCCCGCCTCCTTCATGCTGCAGCCTCAGGTCCCACAGTGTCGCATGGGTCCCATGTAACGGCCTCCCATTTTGCTGCTGTCTCCATCGCCACACTCTGCCATGTGCCACTTTCATGGTCTCCTCACACTGCTGGTGTGTTCCATTTTGTCAACAGGGTGCTGGCAGATTACGGGCCTCCCCATTGCTGTGCCAGGCCCGTATCTGCCATGGGCACTACCCTGTACCGCATTCTTCCTCATGCTGCTGCCAGGTCCAGAGTGTCTCATGTCTTCATGTCCCTGTACGGTCCTCCCATTGCTGCTGTCTCCATCGCCCACACTCTGACCATGTGCCACTTTCAGGTCTCCTCACACTGCTGGTGTGTTCCATTTTTTTCATAGGGTGCTGGCAGATTACGGGCTCCTCCCATTGGCTGCTGCCAGGCCCGTAATCTGCCATGGGCCCCCATGTACCGACTCCTCATGCTGTGACGTTTTTGCAACAAGGGGAATTCAACCCTTACATATGTTAGACCGCCTTTACGAAACAGCGAAAGGCCATCACGATTCCTGATGTTACAAGCGGATACAAGGTACTCCCCTGTGAACTTAGATTTCAGCCATTGGCAGCTCATGCGTGACACCTGCCGCTTGCTCAGGGCTCAGGCCCCTATGACGAGGCCACGCTATTGCCTTTAGTTCCAGGGCAGACTAATGGGATGGGAACGACGTCATTCCTCCTCTGGTTGCATGTCCTGGAACAAATTCTGTTAACAATGCTGGTCCCAGGGTGCAGTAGACGTGGCCGCACCGATCTCAACGCCACATGACCCTGTGGGGGCAGGGACAGGAAGAAGAGGAGGAGGTAGAGGAGGACATTGATGCTCAGGAATTATTGAGTTGAAATGGGTGGTTTTTCCACTCAGCGGACAGGAGTGGAGGAGCAGGAGCATTCTGGTAGAGGAGGAGGAGGAGGAGACAGAGGACCCAGACGCACCGTGGCAGTTTTGCTGTGGAGATGGAGGCAGGGAGTCCCTCGCATTCCTTGGCACAAATGGCCCATAGCATTGCTCGGTTGCTTGCGTTAGGACAGACGAATAATAACCATCAGACAGAGGGATGACTTTTGGCTGTCCACCTTGTTGGACCCTCGCTACCGTTCAAAAATGGTGGCCTTTTTCACACCTGCTGAGAGGGAGGCCAAAATAACGTACTATAAAAACCACCTATGTAGTCAGTTGGTCTCTGACTTTCTGCGCCAACGTCCATCCTCAGACACTGTGGGCCCTGTGCGCTCGCGTTCCGCTGCCATAGCAGCAGGGGAGGGGTGGGGTGGTAGGAGCAGTGGCAGCTCCACCAGCAGCGGCTGCCTCAGTCTGCAGTCGATTATGAGTAGCTTTCTTCACCAACGCAGTGAGGAAACTACTAACCAGCCACAGCAGCAGCAGCAGCAGCAGCAGCAGCAGCATCAGGTGGACCTGGAGCAGGACCTCAAACAACAGGCTTGAGCCTACTTGGACAGCACCCCCCTGCCAACCGAGGTAGACAATCCCCTTGACTACTGGGCAACGAAACTTGACCTTTGGCCCCAACTAGCTGAATTTGCCCTTGAAAGCTGTCATGTCATGCCCGGCCAGTAGCGTGGCATCGGAGCGCGTGTTTAGTGCGGCAGGAGGTATTGTAACTCCGCGGAGGACACGACTGTCCACCCAAAGTGTGGAGAGACTCACGTTTGTGAAAATGAATCAGGCGTGGATTAGTCTGGATTTCAAACCACCAGTTCCTGACACAACTGACTAAATCCGCCATGAATCATGCCCCAAACATGTGCCACTTTCAGGTCTCCTCACACTGCTGGTGTGTTCCATTTTTTGTCATAGGGTGCTGGCAGATTACGGGCCTCCCATTGCTGCTGCCAGGCCCGTAATCTGCCATGGGCCCCTGTACCGCCTCCTCATGCTGCTGCCAGGTCCACAGTGTCTCATGGGTCCCTGTACGGCCTCCCATTGCTGCTGTCTCCATCGCCACACTCTGCCATGTGCCACTTTCAGGTCTCCTCACACTGCTGGTGTGTTCCATTTTGTCATAGGGTGCTGGCAGATTACGGGCCTCCCATTGCTGCTGCCAGGCCCGTAATCTGCCATGGGCCCCTGTACCCGCCTCCTAATGCTGCTGCCAGGTCCAGAGTGTGTCATGGGTCCCTGTACGGCCTCCCATTGCTGCTGTCTCCATCGCCACACTCTGCCATGTGCCACTTTCAGGTCTCCTCACACTGCTGGTGGGTTCCATTTTTGTCATAGGGTGCTGTATGGCCTCCCATTGCTGCTGCCTCCACCGCCACACTGTGGCTCCACACTCTGGTTTTGGCCCCGTGACTGCCCAAATGAGTGAAGTGTGCGGTGATTCTAAGATCGACGGCACTCATCTGCATGTCATACTGACTGACAGTATTATTTCTCTTCCCCAGCAGACTCCAAGGGCATTTAAATTAAAGGTACAGTGTTCTGCACTAATATGAAGGCTCTCTGAAGCCTAGAAACACCCTTTTATAAGTTAAATTCGCAGCGAATATATTCGCATCGAATCAAATTTATTCCTCAATTCGCCGAATCAGCCGAATCGAATTTTTGAATACTTCGCTCATCTCTAGTCGTATCAGACCTGCTACATAAACCTCTTTTTGGCCCAATGACCCCGATTTCTTTATGCACATCCAGCCCTGGTCAGGATCTCTGCTGTTCTCTGGTCCATGCTCGGCCCTTCCATCTCATGTGGTTTGTCCACTGGTGCAGTAAACATGCTGTAACGGAAGCGTAGGCAGGACAGAGCACACGGAGAAGATGGGGAACACACAAAACTTTATTGAAGCAACAAAATGACAGACACTCAATGGGGAAATGGCAGGGAGGGTGATGTGTGCGCAAACCAGGGACAATTCCAGGCACGGGGGGTCTTCAGCGACACGCAGGCAATCTTCCCCCCTAGGCTTGGGGCCTCAGCCGAGCTCCCTCCGTGACTGGCACAGCGGATTGGAGACTCGGGCAACAGGCGGCAACCTACCACTAGGCAGGGACCTCGGGCAACAGGCGGCAATCTACCCCTGGGCAGGGGTCTCTGGGGGGCAGGCGGCAATCTACCCCTGGGCAGGGGTCTTGGGCAACAGGTGGCAACCTACCACTGGGCAGGGGCCTCGGGCAACAGGCGGCAATCTACCCCTGGGAAGGGGTCTTGGGCAAGAGGCGGCAACCTACCACTGGGCAGGGGCCTCGGGCAACAGGCGGCAATCTACCCCTGGGCAGGGGACTTGGGCAACAGGGTGGCAGGGGCCTCGGGCAACAGGCGGCAACCTACCACTGGGCAGGGGCCTCGGGCAACAGGCGGCAACCTACCCCTGGGCAGGGGTCTCGGGCAACAGGCGGCAACCTACCACTGGGCAGGGGTCTCAGGCAACAGGCGGCAATCTACCCCTGGGCAGGGGCTCAGGGACTCAACGGGACTCTAGCTGTGGAGTCTGGCCTCAGTACAGCTCCCACCCAGCTTTCTAGGGACATTGGGTTCACGGGGACTCAACGGGTAGCGATGGCTCAAGCACTCAGGGGCACCACAGGTAGCTATACTCCGGGCATGCCATCAGGACACAGGTGGTCAGTGCACACAGCGGGGCAGTCCGGAACATGGGTGGTCGGTGCACACAGCAGGGACAGTTCAGGACACGAGTGGTCGGTGCACACACCGGGGACAGTTCAGAACACGGGTGGTCGGTGCGCACAGCAGGCACAGTTCAGGACATGGGTGGTCAGTGCGCACAACAGGGACAGTTCAGGACACGGGTGGTCGGTGCACACAGTGAGGACAGTTCAGAACACGGGGTGGTCGGTGCACACAGCAGGGACAGTTCAGAACACGGGTGGTCGGTGCGCACAGCAGGCACAGTTCAGGACACAGGTGGTCGGTGCACACAACAGGGACAGTTCGGACACAGGTGGTCGGTGCACACAGTGGGGGCAGTTCAGAACACGGGTGGTCGGTGCACACAGCGGGAACAGTTCAGAACACGGGTGGTCGGTGCACACACCTGGGGACAGTTCAGAACACGGGGGGGTGGTGCACACAGTGGGGACAGTTCAGGACACGAGTGGTCGGTGCACACACCCGGGGACAGTTCAGAACATGGGTGGTTGGTGCACACACCGGGGCAGTTTAGAACACGGGTGGTCGGTGCACACAGCGGGGACAGTTCACAACACGGGTGGTCGGTGCACACAGCAGGCACAGTTCAGGACACGGGTGGTAAGTGTGCACAACAGGGACAGTTCAGGACACAGGTGGTCGGTGCACACAGCGGGGACAGTTCAGAACACGGGTGGTCAGTGCGCACAACAGGGACAGTTCAGGACACAGGTGGTCAGTGCACACAACAGGGACAGTTCAGGACACGGGTGGTAGGTGCACACAGCGGGAACTGTTCAGAACACGGGTGGTCGGTGCATACAGCGGGGACAGTTCAGGACACTCACGGTAAGCAGCTTGCAGACCCTCAGCGGCACGCGGCTCCAGACAGGGACGACCAGCGGTCAGCATTCCAGGGACAACCAGCGATCAGCAGACAGCAGCAGCTCCCAGGGCACTCAGCAGCAGACAGCTTCCAGGGACACGCAGCCACAGACAGTATGCAGGGTCCCTCAGCAGCAGCCCCCAGGGCACTCAGCAGCAGACAGGTTGCAAGGGTGCCCAGTAGACAGGCTTACAGACTGGCAGGGTCTCAGCTGTGGGGTTTGACCTTTGAGGAGAAGGCTCATGCAGAGCTGTGGAGACTCCCAACCCTGGGGTATTGCAGAGGGCTACAGTCCTGACCTTTTGGGGGTCTGCAGAGTGCGCAGGGGGGATGGCTGGAGAGGCTCAGTCCCCCTCACCCGAGCCTCCCAGCATCTTTCTGGGAGCAAGATGATTCCAGCAGCATGGACAGGAACAGAGAGAGGAGGGCTGCTTCCTGTGCGGGTCTTTTGAAAACCATGTGGGACGCGGCTAGGTTGCTCGGCAACAGCCGGCCCAGCCCTGTCCATGGAAGCTCCACAGACATAGGAATGTGCAAGGGGGTAAGGGAGGGGTGGAGGGATATGGCGGGGGATGGGAGAGGCACTGGCAGTCCGTGACACACGCCCTTAACTGACAACTGACCAGCACCATCCTGGACCATATAGCAGCAGAAATGCTTCCCACCTGGCTGTTAGGAGGTGAAACCTTTTTTGAGTCATTTTCCATTTCTCCAAAACCTTTCATATATCACATTTACAAGTAATCCAGCGGCATACCCTGATACAATTTTTAACACCATCAACATATTCAGAAATAAACCACTTTCTTGTTTCCCTTTGATCTGTACAGTCAGCCATTCAGTGCTCCACCTAGTGGTACTCCGCAGTGCCAGACCATCTGACTGGAGGAGACACCCCAGTACACATTGGTTGTACATTCCAAAGTTCAAGCATCTCCTTTAATACTTTGGTTACAACCCAACCACTTGACTCTAGACCCAAGACCTTCCTGACGATATTTAGGACACTTGGAATGCTGAGAGACCCACCTGCTGAGACTTGAGAAGCTGAAACTTTTAAAAGGACCTCCTCCTAGCTGGAGGTAACCACAGCCTGGTGCTCCACCAGAGCGCTGCCAGATGCTGGGCTCACTCTCAACGTCTCAGGCTCAGCACCCATAAGCTGTCCCCAATCATTTCCAATGACAACATCATTTTGACACTCCATGCCAACATCACGTTTGTGAGTCACAGACAAAGTCTCTGCTGTATGTGCGCCCTTATCTATAGGCTGTTCTATAGACCCTGCTGCTGGCACAGCAGAAACAGTGTCCACCTTAATGTTTTGCATAAAAGCCTCATCTATCCACGAGATTAGCCTTTTACCCCAACTATCCCAATCCATTGTATATGTGCTCAATTCGCCAGTGCTCCTCAGCACCGATCCATCTGCCAAAGGAGACACATAAGAATAGACGGGCTTAGTTGCAGATGCAATGCACAAATCACTCTGGATCACGTCTGAATTGGGTAACACCTCTTTTCCAACTGCAGGTTGAATACCTCACATCCACCACTTTGCTCTTTGGTGGTGCTTCCTGAATTACCCACACACTTGCATTTTTCCCAGGCTGCATTAACCCGCTGTTTACCTGAACACTTTCAGTTTTATTAGACTGCACCAACACACTCCTATGACAAGGTGCAGTTCCACTCTGCTCCACCAGAGTGACATCTCAGTTGTCCAGGGCAACCTCCGGCTCCAATACACGGAGACCCCTGGAGATTTCTAAGGACACCTGTGCTGTCTTACCACCAGTTGCTATGGGAAATGACCCATCTTTAATTACCACTTTTGCACTGCAAGAGATTAGGGTTTTCCCAACAGCAGTACATTTCACATCAACAACATTATCAGCATTTTTAGCTCTTTTAGCCCACTACCAACCTGTGACTGGCACACATTAGGGACATCACTTTCTTTTTGAGAACCATGCACAGGTTTTAATTTAACTCCTACCTCCCCACAGTACAATGCACTGCACAGGGAAAAGTCACTCTCAAAAGCACATTCAATGGCCGAACTAACTGGGGTCACTCCTACATCAGAATGGACAGTCTCATAACCAGTCCTTCTCAACATGACAGTCCCAACCATGGTTTTATCACACAGTCTTACCCACCACAGTAGTAGGTGTCGCTATCTTCATTTGAGTGCGTTGTCTCATAAATGCATCCTCAACTGCACTTTCCTTGGCAACTTTTCCCTTGCCCCAAGGTGAAGTAACAGACACCCTCATAGGCTCCATGGACTCTCTGGTACCCCCTGCAGGCCCAACAGGTACTTCCTCCCTGTTACCAGAGGTGGCTGCCAACATTTTAAAACAATAATCTGGGCTTGCAGTTGAAGACATTTGCCCAGTATCAGCGTTATTCCAGAGTCTGGGAAAGGAAAAGATCCCATGCCCCCACTGACCACATTCCAGGCAGGGTACATTTCCACACTTATCTTTATTGGGATGCTGAGCCACATCTCCAATGCAGCTCCTCCTTCCAGGCAATATTTTTTCTCCGGTCGCCAAGGGAGATCGCACTCTCCAAGCAGAACTTTGCTGGCTCTTTCCAACACGCTGTATTGGCTCCTCTTGATGCCACTTGCCATAATCCTTGTACGACATAGCCCCCTGTACACAGACAGCCCGACTGGCCTCCTCTGTGTTGCTATGGGCAATCACTCTCAGTCCTGGCCTCTTGTCAACCCCTCTGTAACAAACTTGCTCATCGGAGATGGATGTGGAGTTCCCCTTTTTTATTAGAAGTATTCCTCAATCCTTTATTCCCTACCCCCTCCCTTCCTGAGAGGCACAGGGGCAGATGTGTAAGTGTTAAAAGTTGCTGGCAGGCTGGAGCAGCAGGGGGCCCAGCGCTACAAAGCCCCCCCATGGAGGCAGAGCCTCTCAGTCTAAAAACCTGTGTAGGCTCACACATCATAAAACAAATAAGGCAGCTTCTCCCAGGAATTGAAAGAGATTGTAACCTCTTAAAACCTAACAGTTAAAGGTGACAGAATGAAATGAACATTCCTCAAGTCAGGTTTTTTCCCCTATGTTTCATGTCATGGATTATGACAGATGTTGTTTTTAATTCAGAGTTCGCCCGACTGACCCTCCAAAAACAGGGTATTGGCCAGTATTCAGAGCCATTCCCCCTGCAGGGGGACTTTAAAAGACAGGCTGGCAAGCCTAAAAAGTTAAGCTAAGCACATCTCCCAATTTTAACATCAATATACCACCTGGGGAGACCCTTTTGCTCTGCAAAGTGGATCTGCTTACAAACCAAGGCGTACTGGCAAGTAACTTAACCCTTTACCTTCCTTCCTATTATCTCTTTGCTATATTTATATACATATATATATATCTTAGTTGCATGTCTTTGTAAATATTTTATTGCACCTGTTTGACTCTTTTAGTAATAAATCTTTCTTTCTGAAAGTGTTAAACTGTTTTTAAGTGCTTACTTGCAATTCACAAATTCCTGCCTTTGAAGAGATGCTACTGTTTGTTTTAATCTCTGTGTAACTGGCCTGCGGACTGTGTTACACAGACCATTATTTCAATCATTACAGTGTATTAATTGATAAGGAGAGTTTCCTTCTTCTCTGATAAAAGACGGTGGTGGCATGTAGAGGGTTAGTTGCGTAATTAACCCGACCCAGTAACAAGCACGTTCAGGCTGCAGGCATCGATTGTAGTCCATTAGCTGGACAATCACTGTGTAGGGTGCAGCTGGGTGTGGCCTTGTTACGTGCGTCACATCGCGGTTTTAGATCGGCCGGTCCTTCGGTCACGAGTTTGGTGAGAAGGTCTGGGGTCTGACGCCACGGTCGTGACGTATTGTTGGTCACAGTCGTGGGATTGTCGCATGACTGGTGGCGGCGATCCGGCAATCGTGACACCCTCTCCTTGCATATAGCATGGGCTTCTCTCTGCTGGACCCTCTCTCAAGCTGTGACACATTCACATTTTTCACAACAGCTACTGGTTTAACTGCAGCAGCGTTGCCATGGGTGACAACACCCCTCTCCCAGGTACGGAAACCCTGCAGCTCTCTCCTTTCACTGAAGGTTGGCTTGCTTTCCTCTGTAGGTTGGTTCAATGCTGCCAGGTGCTGCTTGCACCAGTCCACAGCAGATTCACACACATTTAAATTTCCCGGCTTGGCTGGGGCATGCGGTATATAACCCCCTAGCCACAGGATTCTATCTATCGCTTCAGCAAGCATTGCCTCCTTTTTCTGTTTTGACTGCCCATCTTTGCAGTCACGCACACAGCAGTGTGTTACACAGTTCAGCAACACCATAGAACACTGTCTCTTTAAGGCAAAGTCCTTTTCTCTAGCAGGTTCTCCTCACCTGCACACACAGATAGTGCAGACTTATGCACCAAACACAGTTCATATAACAAATGAACTTACTTCATCGCAGGGATCTCCCGTTCTGCTCGCTGCATCTGCCACCATATGTGGGAACTCGCTTCAAATGGTAGAGCTTTGTTAAATGCACCCAGTAACTCGCTTTCTTTTTAAGGCTTTTTTAGCCCACTTTTATTTAAAGAAAATGTTCCATAAAGCTTCCCACGCAGGGGTATCCACCATCAAACACACGCAAATGAAAATTCAGCCTCCTGGCTTGTACACAGTTTTATGTCTGTCTCCTACAGACTCTTTCCAAAACATGGCTCTCGCACACAGCTAGTCTGGCTTCCCCCTCTCCTTGGTGAAGCCCTTCTAACTCCAAGGCAGAGACCTCCTGACTCCTGTCTGCCGGGGTGGAACCCAGAACCCTGGTCCTGACTCTATGAAAAGGCCTGCACACACCTGTGCAAATCAGTCCCCTGGCCATTCCCAAAACCTGGTCCCAGGATTGGAGATTTCATCCCTCCCAAATCGCTTTGAAATCTCCAGGCTCCAGGTCCCAAAATGGACCTTACAAACAAATGAGGAAAGTGAAAATCCACTTTCCTCTGTATCAAACACGTACCCCGGAGCCCCTCAACTTGCCTTGTTGAGAATCCTGGGTGAAATAACCTTTCCACATCGTGACAGATCGCCACACTGTCACAATATATTCAGATAGGTCAGTTTAATGCGAGTCACCTGATACCTTACATCCCTAGATTACGTCTACCAAAGAGCAGAAAGCAATATCTCCTTAACCGTCCCAAGCAGATATGTCATATCTGGTGTCAGGATGTTCAGAATATCATTCTGCATATTATCCTACCAGTGAATAGGATGCTACATGTACCTATGGAAGGTTATTGAGCATGGTATAACTTGCGAGCGATTTTGGTCCTAGCCTAGGTCTCCGCCTAAAACCCCCTCCCCAAATGGGGCGATTGGCCCTTGGCTTCAGAGACACCCCCTGCTGGGGGACTAGAAAATAGGCTTTCAGGCCTGGAGAGTAAGATGAAGAGATTCTCCCGTTTAACATTGGAACCAACTTTGGGAGAAACGGTACCCTTTTGTTCAGGACACTTGAATCTGCTGAAAACAAGTACTCTGGGAAGTATTCTACCTTTCTACACTTCTGTTATCTCTCTGCTGTGTTATTACTCTCTGTATTTATATATATATTGGCTACATCTTTTTCTGTAAATATTTTTATTGCACCATTTTGACCTTTTTAGTAATAAATCCTATTTTCTGAAAAGTGTTGAACGGTTTCTAAAGCTCTTTAATGCAAACTAAGAATCCCTGTTTCTGAAGAGCGCTACTGTGTGTTTTAAACTTCTGCATACATCTGCCTGCGGTGACAGTGTGTATACAGATGCTTATTCAAACATCATAGTGTTACTGCTAAGATTGGTGAGTTTCCTCCTTCTCTGTACAAAAAGGTGGTGGTGGCAGTGTGAAGGCTTAATTGCATAATTAACCTGACCCAGTAACAATCGCTTTCAGGCTGTGGCAGTTGTCCTCGTGCATTGATTCAGTCAAGTTGGGCATCCCATATTCCCTATTACCCTATCCAAATTATTTCCACTAATAAAATAACAAAAAATCAAGCTCATGGACTGTTCACTGACTGTGAATGCAAGTGTGGAAAATACGTGTTGCCTAGCTGTGTGGAGCTTGGAGGGACCTAGAAACACAGCTTGTGGCAGGCGCAGCACCCTTTGGTGCCTTGTGCGCTGTGGCATTAGAAAAATTATGCAATTGCTGTTTCTTTTGTTTGATTAGACTGACTTTACTCTGTAATTCCTCCAATGCCGCTCTATGGATGCATTAGGTTTAAAGAGCACACCGAATACTTTAGTTAACTTCTTTAATAACTTCAATCTTCCTCATATAACACTGCTTACAATGGCTTGTTTCTTTCATATTACAGTGGTTTGATTCGATAGCTTATCTCGATAGGTTCAATAGATTCGATAAATTCGTTCTGTATATTTCGATAGATTGATAAATTCACTTGGTTTATAAATTCGGTGGTACTACAAGTAAACACATACAACAGTTTTTACATACAGATCTACCTCATTACTAAACAACAGAGGAACACACAAGTGCATTAAATACCTATTTGGCCTTCTCTGCTTCCATAAAGTTTTTCTGATTGGAACTTTGTCTTTTCCTCTTCTGTCTGGTGAGCATGTGTCCCTAGAAAATCCTAGCAGGGAGTTTTAACACAGGCACAAATGTGAAACTGGCTGGGATTGGTTAAGGCTCTGTACAGTGTGAGGCTGTCTGTGATTGGCTCACCTTA